TTGTCTGTTAACTTTAGGATCTTTATTTATGCCTTTGTACAACACTTTCCAGAAATATCTCTATATATTCTTCTAAAAACTTGCTGTGTTTTGAACTTCACAGATCAACCACTAGGTGAACTTCATGTTTATGTATTTGAAGCTACATAAATTCAAGATTCGGCACCTCAAAAGCTTGAAGATTTTTCAGATTTTTTTTTTTCCTTTCAAATGAATTCTGTGTCCAAGCTGTGAAGACACAGCAGGACAAGCAGGCTTTGAGTGGCCTTTTGGAAAGCTCACTGTTCTCCAACATGTAATTCTTACAGATGACATACATTGAAGTGAATCAATCAAAGAGGCTTTCTTGTAGCCATAGATCATACATGCAGAATATGATATGCTCAGAATTATTAGTGAGGACATTAAAAGGAGGGAGTTTGCATTATATGCCCTCTATGAAAGTAACTACTGAGACAGCCAACTCCATGTACTATAATTTTCCTATTAAATCAGTGCCAGCCATTGAGACCACTGAAATCAATTTACCTGCCCAAAGGCTCTCAGCCTTTTAAAGGCTGTTTCAACTGTTTATCACACTGAACAAATAGAGTTGGGGTGGCCACTCAAATATTTGTTATCTTCTAACCGACACAGACAATAATAAGCTCTTTCCTTGGACATATTTGTAAATTCCTAAAATTTTAGGTGAGGGAGAGACTGCATGGGCTGCAGCCCAAACACATGGCATAAGTTACTGGTGCAATTAAATTGGACCCTAACTTGCATGTTGCTCAGAGAATTTTGAATTCCTATGAAGTGTTCACACACTGTGTTCACACACTGCGTGAGGTGGAAGGAAATAGTGACTGTTTTGTTTGTCTTCTCCTATTTTAGACTGAAAACCCAGCCTAATTTCATTCCAAAGCCTCAGGGCTGAGGCATGGCAAGGTCAATGACTTCCCTTGGCCAAAGAGGATGCATGTGGCACAGCCAGGAATAGAGTCATAGAATATGTCTCATAGAACTGTAAGGCCCTTCTTACTGTGACAAAAGTTGTTCTGTTGTGAGCAGGTTCAACCATTTGTCTGAGCTGTCACTTTGGTTCACCTTCCTAGAATACTATAACAGTGGCAGAGAATACAAATTTCAGACACTTGTAATAAGAAACTGCAAACCTGTCAATTCAGATCTTATTCTGCATTTCCTCCCTGAAATGCAGAGAAAGGCACTGCATGTGACACATGGTAAAATTTCTTCCCAGCAGCTTTTAGGCTTTTTTAGATACATTTGTGTTTTAGATACATTTTATTAACAATCTTTCTTTCTTTGAACGTTCTGTCCTAGGATCTGAAATGCATTAACACTGAGCATCATCCTGTGATACTTCTATGAAGTCATTTCTTAAGTGACTTCAGTTTTACAGAAGGGGACAGGAAATGAAGCCTCCTAATCAAACATTCTGAAACCTATTTGCTTAACATTTAACAACTATATACATAATTAAACCACTGAATCAAGGAAACTCAGTTTCCATAGCTGCTTGTTACCTCAGCAAACAGGAACAGACACCAGTCAAAGGACAACTGCTAAGCATACATTTTACACAGACTGTGTACTATTTAGAAAGACAGGATGTAGTCTAAACTTGGTTATATTCATCCAAATGCAATATGACACTGTTCTGTAACCTGTAGCTGCCCCCAGGTCCTATTGCCAGGTCTCTGACCACATTTTCCTGTTTATTAAGAAATACTTTCCTCCCTGTGGCCCATTTTCGCAGCCCTGGACCAGTAGAGTGTGAGACATTGAACAGCATCATCTCTCTCTCTCTTTCTAACAATAAGCCTGAGAGCCAAATGGAAAAAAAAAGTCTTTCCTACTGGACCTCTTTTTGCAGAGAAGTTCATGGAAGAGTCTTCTCAGTCTGGAAATTAGGCCACGTGGCAAAGATTGTGCAGGAAATCAGAAACAAAATAAGGAATAGAACTTAATTTCTTCACTTTCAAGATCTGAACTTGAACTTCAAGATAGTTTCTGCTTCTTAAAGATTAAGAATAAATTAACTCATATGTTTGGGACTGTGTAACACAAAGAAATATCTGCTGTGAATGATGGTTAACAGTTGTCCCAGGAGGGGAAAAAAAAAAAAAATCTGCATCCTTACTGCTTTAAAACAGCATAGCTCCACTGAAAATCCCCTGCTGCTTATCTTTTCCAGAGCAGCACCTAATGCCATGAATCTTGTCACAGAAGTGTTTTGTATATATGGGATGCAGCAGCTTCTGGGCTTTGCAAATTGAATTGGCAGTCTTGCTAAGTCTCAGCCATATAGTCTGCTTTCATCATCTGTGCCCTGAGAGCAATGGTAAACAATGTTTCTCCCACTTTTTTACCTCACTGCTGATACTGTACTGGAAGACTGGCAGTTAGAGATAAGTGAAAGGGTAGCCTTGGAAAAATATTTCCTCAAAGTACATTGCATTCTAGATGCATGCTCTTTGGGTGGAGGCTTGTAAGTATTCAGTATTTAACTTTTCTTTCTGCTGTATGTCATCCATGAAGTTCTAAATATTAAAAGAACCCTGCTGGGCAGTAGGCAAACATCTGTTATTGTTGTCGTTTTTAGCCCAGTTAGGAAGAGATAGTTCAGGGGTTACACTTTAAGGGAGAAAATGCTTGAATCCAAGTGTTGTATTGTGCTAGCTATTGAGAAACTTAGATGCAAACTTGGCTAATGACTAAGATACAGGATATTAATCATCAAGATACTGGAAAACTACACTGATTTATTTAATTGCATAAATTCAACTTGAAGGTATAACTCCATATACAGGCAAGGACAGTTAAAAGCACAGTTAACTTCAGTATTCTCTGAAACTATCCAAACGTAGGGTTGTTCCAGATGTTAGTGGCACTGCTTCTTGTTTATACCATTTCTCAGCAGATGTTGTGCTATTTGAAAAAATTACTCAGATGGGTGGTACCAGAATTTGATGCAGAGCCTATCCCCGTGGGGCATGTAATTACATGAATACAGCCCAATATGTATCATTTTATCAGGGCCGCAAAGCAAATAACATTCCTTTAGCTTGATGCAAATTGCAAGGGGCAAATGTTATCATGGCCTCTTGATAGATGAGACTCCAGTGACTTTTATTACTTTTTTTTTAAAAAAAAAAAACAAAACAAGAGATGTGAAGTTACACAGCTTTGTTGTTCTAACCTTGTCCCATCCATCTACAAATGAGAATTCAAATCCTGCCAATGCGTGCACATACATAGCTTCACTTATGCAAGGAGAGTTACTTATATAAATACAGGCTTGCAGACGTGCTTCTGCAGGCAGTTTTTTCCTGACGTCCTGTTTCTGTTGTCTTTTAGCATACCAGAATTAATGGAATTGCAGGAATGCATAGCTGGATTCCAAAAGTGCAGGCTGATTCTCAGTTTCTGAACAGAACTAGCACTCAAATGTACCATGGAGCTCATCCATGGTACAGACAGTGGGCTGGTCACATCCTGCTCTCAGTGCAGCTGAGTGCAGCCAAAAAACACTGCTTTAAATGATGACAGAAATAAGCAGAATATTTCTTTTGAATGTGGAAGATACTTTTGTCAGACTGGGGTCATCTATGCTACTCTTTCTCTGTACTTTGGAATGAATACAGGACCTCTAAGTGCTTTTTCCTGCTCAACTGTCATTTGATGTTTTCCTGTGCATTTCTTCTTTCTTCTGGATTTTTCTATTGGTTTATGTTTTCCTTTTTACTCCTCCTGTCCCTCCTACACTCTTCCTCTTTAGCTTTAGAGGAAAATTCCTATTTGAAAAATCACATTGTACTTGCAAGTTCCAGAAGCTTTTGTAACAGAAGAAAATGGAGACGTTTTTAAAGACAAACAAAACAACCAAGTAAACAAAACAAAACAAACATAATGCATTTCCAGCTGTAGCACTTACAGTGTGTATTATTCTCCTGGAAACTTTGTTTTCTTTCCTCTATTACCTGTTTCTCCAATCACTAGTGGAAAAATACACCAGTTGAATGCATTGCCACTGAACTGTTTTCCTTATATTTCCTTCTCTATATCCTTTGCTGCATTTTGTTTGGGCTGTACCCCAGGGAATCTGAACTGAGTGGGTCTGAGAATCAGCACTCCTTGATATGAGGGCAAATCAAATATGTGATAGACAGGAATAAAGCTATGAACTTTCATTTGCTAGCAAAGTCACTGTCTGTATTTTGTTAACTATAACTTGAAATGTGTGAGGATGCAGTTTTTTGTTGTTGTTTTTGTTTTATAAAGAAGACTCCCTGGCACTTTCTTACCTTTGTAGATGCCCAGTGCTACTCTGATTTTTGATACAGACACAGTCCATAAAACTTGCCTCAAATGGGATTAGAGCAGTTGTAAAGCAATGGAAAGTACAGTGATGACAGCAGAGCAACAAGGTCCTAGGCTACAACAAATGAGAGTTTTCTCAAACATAACAGCCATAGGCACAGAAATAAAGGAAAGAAGCTGCTTACCTTCAGAAGGTATCACATAGGCAGGGATCTGCAACAAGACTCCGTTGCCTCTACTGCCAACCCTTAAATGAGGTCTGGGAATCTCATTGCATGCACCTGAGCTCCCCTGGCTTGGCCCTGCCTTCCTGCCAGGTGTTCAATCACTGTTTCAGGCCGTGACTTAGCATTTCCACTACAGTGATAAAATACCAAACCCAACTAGAAAAGAATACATATCACACTTCAGTAGAACTTTGCAACATCATCCACCAGTGATGCTGTGATCAGTGCTCTCTTAAGAAATAAAAGCAAGGAAAACAGTTCCTGGACTGCTTGTCTGGAGTTTTTTTTTTTTTTTAATGTCTACAGCCAAATACTCCACAAGCTTTGTCATAGAGGTTGATAGTTAGCAAATGATAATATGAAACTAAACTGAAAGGAGTTGAGGTTACTATGTACAACCCAATAAAACAGTTTCCCTTTGATTGTTCCATTTCTTTTCTTCCCTAGAAAGCAGCTGTGCAACATGTCATTTGAAGATTTTGAGAACTACTCTTATTTCTATGACCTGCCTGAGGAAGAAGAATCACCCCAGTCCACCCTCAGCATTGCCCATATGATTTCCCTTTCATTTTACAGTGTGGCATTTCTTCTGGGAGTGCCGGGTAATGCCATCGTCATCTGGTTTATGGGCTTCAAGTGGGATAAATCTGTCTCTACGCTCTGGTTCCTCAATTTGGCCATTGCAGATTTCATTTTTGTTCTCTTTCTGCCCCTTTATATCACATACGTGGCAATGGGCTTCCACTGGCCTTTTGGGAAGTGGCTCTGTAAAATGAACTCATTCATTGCACTACTGAATATGTTTGCCAGTGTTTTCTTCCTGACATTCATCAGCCTTGACCGCTACATCCGCCTTGTGCACCCAGTTTTTTCCTACAAGTACCGGACTATAAAGAACACCCTCATTCTTAGTATGATCATTTGGATGTCAGCTGCCATTATTGGTGGCCCTGCCTTATACTTTAGAGACACAGCTACTGCTCTCAACAATGTCACCATTTGCTACAACAACTTCCACGTGCATGACAGAGAACTCGTTTTGCTGAGACATCACATTCTGATTTGGGTGAGGCTTGTATTTGGTTACCTCTTTCCTCTACTGACCATGGTTATCTGTTACTCATTGCTGATCGTTAAAGTAAAGAGGAGAACAGTGTTGACTTCTAGCAGGCTCTTCTGGACCATCATTGCTGTAGTTGTAGCTTTTTTTCTTTGCTGGACACCATATCACATATTCAGTATTGTGGAGCTCTCTGCTCATCATGATGAAAATTTGCACGACTTATTGCAGGATGGCATTCCCCTCTCCACAGGCCTTGCTTTCATCAACAGTTGTCTCAATCCAATCCTCTATGTTCTCATTAGCAAGAAGTTTCAGGCTCAGGTCAAGACAACAGTCTCTGAGGTGCTAAAATTGGCACTGTGGGAAGTGAGCCGCTCAGGAACCGTCAGTGAGCAGCTGTGGAACTCAGAAAACACTCACACGCCTGTGCACCACTGCGAAACTGCTCAGTGACTGTTCACCACCATCCATCTATAAAATAACTGACAGATTTGGAGGTGTTGTTGGCTTCACATCTGCCAGTGAGATGTGCATCTTTGCATATACAGTTTTGTATTAATGGCTGGCTTTACTGTGCTTGCTGCTTTCCTTTAAATGTTTTTAAAGGATACATCATTTGGGTGTGGTGTGGTTGCAGCGTGGACGGCCTGAATAGAAAGTCGTCTGGGTTTTCTATCAGGAATATTGTTGTAATCCTGTTGTTGACAATACTTCACTGATCACAAAAGAGCACATAACATTCCTCTGATCGCCACTGATAACACTTTTGATCTAGGCATCCTCATGTGAAAGATCATGTCAGACATCAGTGGTTTGTGAGTGTCACAAGTATTCCACTATTGTTTAAAGTAGGAGTCACCTAGCTATATCCCAGCCAAAAGAAGCTGTCATTAGCTTCACTCTGCAATCAGAAAAGTAACTCAATACAGAGAACACTGAATTGCTGCCTTTTCCTTCTAAAGAAGCATGGAAATGTTTTCTCCCGTTGTTTTGTCTTATATTGAGCTGAGCCAGGGGACTGTGGTTTCTTGTCATTTTTTAGTTTTAATGCCATCTGGTTGTAAAATACTAAGCAGGTGTTTCAGAAAGTATTTTGGCTCATTTGAAATATTCAAAGAATTAGTGGAAATGTTTCCCACTGAATCTGAGACTTAAAGCCCTTGTCACATGTTCTTTTTCTGTGTTTAAACTTTCAGGTTTCAGAGACTTCACAATTATCAGCTGTTTTCTGCTGGTCTTGCAAACAAAGGTTAAGATGCAGTAAAACATTTTGTCCTACTGTCCAAATAGGAGTAGAGTGAATTCAACAATATTCTTTCACAAGAAGGTAGCCAAATTCAGACCTCTCTACCAAGCTGCAGTCAAGATTGTACAGCCAAAATACAATGTTCACTCGCATAAGAAATAGGCAGTAGACCCAGTTGTCCTATTTTCTGCTCCAACATGTTGCCTGCTGTAGAATCACACCTACACCAATGCAAATATACACGCTAAGAGGAGCAGATCAATTTCTGAGGCAGTACCACTTGATCGAGAAGTTGTACGTGAGATAAAACTGCGAAGAATAAAAGCATAAAGCTTTAGGTAACTCGCTTTTTATTGTTACTGGCCTGCATATCTAGAGTAAAACTGGCTTTCACGTAACCTACATGTTAACACGTAAGTCGCGTTTACATTGTAAATGAGGCCTTGTATGTAAAACTATGCATCTGCATTCATGCATAAGCACATCCAGTACTGATAGCTGCATAAATAGCAACTGTCTGATTGCGGTCTGTAGCTGTTTCTTTGGGCTCTGGTCTCAGAGTTTTAGTGAGGCAGAACCTATGGAATTTCGGTGTATTTAACTTTGGGCTGGAAAGTTGGTAAGCAGCATTCTTTCCTTTGAGTCATTCACTGCCTGGTACACAGTGACTCACCCGTAATATTCTGGCACTATGCAGCTGAGCGTGCCTAAATCAACTGTTTGCCGTTTTTCTTCACATATTCCTTGACATCTTTCTAAGAATGTGTTTTAGTGCTCCTTCCCTGACTGTACTCCAAGTGGAGTAATAAAATTCTGTTGGCTCTGAAGAATGTGTTCATTTGCTTTTCTCAGCAGCAAATACACAGTGACTGTTCACAGAACAGCACCTTCTTGACGTTTTTAGAAGATGAAAGAAAACCCTGACCTTTTATGTTACAGGAATTAAAGTTTATTCCATTTTTTTTCCATGCACATTAGGTATACGAGAACAAATATATGAGCAAAGAACTTGATTTTCAAAACAAGAGAATTTTTACATTTGCTTTGTCTTGTGTACGTAATCAGAAAATGTTTTACAATGCTTTGCTTGGACCGGCTCTCTGGATTAAAGAACATATCACCAACATCTAACCACCACCTTCACCAAAAGCTTCCCCCACATAGTATAGAATCTGGCCAATATCAGTCCCGGTTTGTGGAGAAAAATAGACCAACAACTTCTCAAGGTTATTGCTACCTCCTTCATACCAAGATCAGCTACATAATTGCCTCCAACTCATTTCTGCAAGAGTAATGGAAGATACTTAATCAAAACAGCATTCTTGGTCTGTTTCCAAAGAATAACAAGAAAGTCCAATTACTCTCCTACACTGCTTGGACAGAAGAATGCTCATTCAAAGCTCTATGATGAAAAAAGAAGCAGAGGAAGGGAATCTGTCTTATTTTGCTATGAGATACTGCATAGAAACAAAAAACAAAACTTAATAGCAGCAGGTTCTATTCTTAACTGCTTCTTAATGTTTGTTCTTTTGAAGATTGTGTGGAAGTGTTTCTGACACTTTTGTTAAAACTCTATTACTTTAAAAAACAGTGGTAACTGGCAGCCCTTTTTAAAAAGAGGCACCAGTTCTCCCATGTCACTTTATATGACTGTATTTAAGATCTCAAACTTATGATTGATCTTGTCATTACAGGTTACATTTGAAACAGGAATGTCTCATTCAGTCTAAGATACTGATTTTTCAGAGGCACACTGTTGTAAGCTGTACTTGAACAAAATTATAAGATATTATCCACCTGCATTAACTGTAGCATGTAGCCACTGCACCCCATTAATCCTCCAAGCACGTGGCAATGCCCCGTCCTCTTGAAGGGACACGCTGCCCCCTAGCTATCTGTGCATTAATCGCACCTCAAGGATCACAATCCTACTACTCAAGGTTAAAAACCAATGCTGGCCTGCAGCTTAAGGCACACCAAGGCCTTGATCTTAAAGCAGGAATTATGCAGTACTAATTAAGCCCGCCCTCCCTCCCTCCCAGAAAATTTGAGGTTATTTCTATTTTTTATTTTTAAGCACTTCGGGAGAAAAAAAAAAAAAAATCTCAGATCTACACAATTGGAGATGGTGAGAAGTTAATTTGACTTGAGACTGCCAGGGTAAAAAGTACATTTCACCACATAACCTCCACTGCACTGCAGTCCTCGTTGCTTTAAACTTCCGTATCTTTGTCTTCATTCCCTTAGTGCCAGTTAAACTATAGCTTTCAAAAGGAAAAGGCAAAGGCCACCATACAACTATTTGGTTAAACACCACCCTTCCTATACAAAATTCATATTCCTTTTGAAAAAAGTGCTACAGCCCTGTGCTTCTCCCTGAAAGCAATCTCTCCTTCCAGATTAAATACAAGTATCCAAATATGTAACCGCCTAAAATAAAGGGCATTTCAGATATTTAAAGCCACATGAATATTAAGCCTAGACATACGGCAACTGGCAACTCTCTCTTTGCTCTGGCACTAGGTACTATGGTGCTGGAACAATCCTAAAATCCAATGTATTAGCTTCTACTTTACCCATCAATCAAATTTTACATTAACAAACTGGATTGCACTATGACTTTGAATTAACGACAGAGATGGCCCAATTTTTGCAATTATATTTATTCTAGATATATCAAGGCTTAGATCTTGTTGAAAGCAGCTACATCCATTGATTGTACATAATCTTCAAAAGCTGTTATTCTTTCTTCCAGCATGTCTGTTCCAACTTTATCATCTTCAACAACACACTGAATCTGAAGCTTTTTGATACCATAGCCAACTGGTACTAGCTTGGCTGCAAAAAAAAAAAAAAAAAAGCATTAAACACTCCTTGCTTGAAAAGTCAAGTCAAAGATGTAAGTGGCTGACAGCATTAATCAACAAGTTAATCTGAAAGTTGTGCTTATTTGAATCTTAAACCTTGCTGCTGCCCTAGCAGCTTTCTGACTAACCCCTTTTACATTATCACTCTTGTGAGATTATGCAAAGAAAAACATCAGTTTGCTATTTACTGGGTGCTAGTTCACCAAGCAGCACACATGCACAGCTCATGCTGCACAGGCTCTGCGCAGCATGGCAGTTAATTCTCTATTTTAGCTACCTACAGATAGATATACAGCACCCACAGACCACATGATCACCATTTTCCCCACTTTGAATGTTACTTACAAGACCCCCAGACCAGGCCATCTGCTTGAATGCTTCGAACGCACTCCTCTAATTTGGCCATGTCTGTCTCATCATCCCAAGGTTTCACATCAAGCAAGATTGATGATTTGGCAACAACAGCTGGTTCTGAAGAAAGAAAAAAAAAAAGAAACTTCCTATCAACAGCCAGGAAATTTTCAGGAAGCTCAAGAATATACCTGCAAAACTAACTTCACAAGACAAACTCTCCCAGCTTAATAAAAAAGCCTTCATAACTCAGGCCTTTTGTACCAACATGCGTCTTTAAGAGTTCTGAAAATATATATCCTGATATTTAAGATGCAGATGCGTGTTTTCAAAAAATGCTCTAAAAAGGTAACATAAGCTAACGTTGTTTGTTACATAGAAAGTCCTTCTTAGGGGATCTGAGAAGGAGCTTAATACTACGTAACAGTTTATCTTCCACAGAGGGAATACTGCAACTGCTACAATCCCAAACAGTTTCAGACCAGTAACTGTGGAGGAACCTGCACGCAACAGCCTTTCTTTTCAAAGCTAACTATTGATTGACTTTCTTAGACTAGTCAGAGTTCTTATGCAGATGCATTTTATACTACTTTGCATCTGTTTTATTCAAATAAGATCCCAGAGTTCTTTTCGTAGAGAAAAAGCTTAGCTTCTTCATTAAAGATAAACAAAGGTATAATAGACAGGACAAACAGTATGCTGTTCACATGCAGTTCATATGTTCATACACAGTTCAGTGATTTGCTATAGGAAAGGCTAAGCTCACAGACCATTCAGGTGAAGCAAACTACTTCTGCTTCATTCCAGTGAAGTTTCTCTTTTACAAACACTATTTCTAATCATGCTGTTCAAATTCATAAGGAGGTCAAAATTATTCAAAGGCATACTTTTGGACTTCTTTGATTCATACTGGGCCAGGCGTTCTTCCCTCAGTTTCTTCGCTTCTTCACTTTCCTGAAACGGAAATACAAAGTCACAAAAAAAAGCACCAAAGCCCTGGATCTTAAAGCATTATTAGATTGACTGGCATCTACTCAGGAAAAAACAAATCATCACAGCTGTCAGCCGAAAGATGGTGATTTTTGTTTTATTCATCATGTAACCAGTCAAAGCAGACATTTCAACCCATTCTATTTCTTTCTAATGGAGAGTTTTTATGTTACAGTCAACAAAGACATCGGAGTTTAGAGATCCTGAACAGTATCTGTTATTAAGGTCACAAATTAAAACTAGTAAGGTAAACACTTGCCTATCCAGGTGGTTCTTAAATATATATGTATAAAACTAAGTCACCAATACCTCTTCATCATCAGATCCAAAAAGATCAATGTCATCATCATCTTTGCTATCTGTGGCTGCACCTGTTGTGTCTTCAACATCAGCAGGACCATATTTCCCCAAAGCCTTCTTTATTCCTGGCAGACTAAAGGAAAACAAGTAATAAGAACCTATCCAAATATCTGTAGAAATGCTACTTGATTGCCATTCGTATGTACATTCATAGCAATAACACTGTGATAAGAACAAGAAAAGTTAGTTTCGCTACTTGAAAACACAAAACAATGCTTCTGGAAACACCTTAATTGAAACTACAGCAAATGCTACAAAGATTGCTTATCTAATCACTGATGGATCCCATGTTATTTTGCTGCCCTATGTGTGTGACTATATGGATAGTAAAAATTTCCATAATGGAATCTGCAATATATTTTGAGTAGCAGGAGTTATCAATTTGTTACCCTAAAAATATTTTCACTTGTTTAAATTAGTAGTAACAGAAAACATGTTGACGGTGCACAAGGGACCAAAATCCCATTAGTTTCCTATTGTTACCGTGAACTGCTGCTATGAATGTCATAAAGTTAAGATTTAATTTTCAGTAATTAACTGAAGTTTCCAGAGTGGACTTTCTGAGGAAACTTTATCATCTCAGTCCTGTCTGGGTTTGAGAGCTGAGCCACCCAACTTCACACCAGCCCTCTCCAGAAGAGGGCTGGGGCACAAAAAGATGACAGCGTAGCAGTGCTGACACTGCCCATGTTGAACCTTTCCAGAGAGGTCTGCAGTCACCATGGATGTCAATTCAGCACCTTTCATGAACACTAACATCACTAAAAGAGAAGAAATAGCCTTTGCCTTTACAGCCATCATTCTTCACATGTGTTTCTTAATTGTTAATCCTCAATTTAGTGTCACCTTCCAGGATTAGAAGTCTGAACAAATCACCTTCTTCATTTCTGCCTGTTGTCTTCAGCCTTCTCTCACAGCTCCTAATTCTGATCCTACCCTCATGGAGTAGATCACTGCTAAGTAATTTCCAGCTTTCAGCACAGTCACTTGAGTAGGAGACAGCAACAAGACCCAAGCTCTCTTATAAGTTTCTACAGAAACATTGTAGAATCTGCACAAAGGCAGATTCAGCTTCCTCATCTGTTCCTTGTTTCTGTTGCAAGAGGCCATACAGCAGCAGGGAAAAGCCCCTTCCTCTCTGAGCTCAGAGAGAAACACAGCAGTATACACACCAGTTCACACATGTGTTCAGTTTGCAGTTTAAGCATACCTCGCCTTTTGCTTTTCGTAGGACTTAATGTGATTGTACCACCGAAGAG